ACGGTCATCGGTTCTTTGATAAAAGTGATAAGCTCACTGCCATTTCAGCTTGCTAATCCTTGCTTGGTAATTTCCACACATACATAACTTAAAATCAGTCGTAGTAATTTATTGAATGTCAGTGACACACAGACAGAGAGTCCCTTATATTAATTTGGCGACAGAGTACTCATGTGTTTATTCAAAAAATACCTGATACCTATGTCAACATGAACTGGTAATCGAACTCGCTACCGATACGGTCACTGGCGGTCACTCGAATGATCTAAACAGAGTGCATTGTGTGTCAAGTTTCTGAGAAATGCTCGGAATGATGTACAAACAAATGTTTGGTTAAGCGTGAGCGTTTGGTTAATGGGTTCTTTATAAGAATTATATTAGGTAAGTATTTGAATGCTTGTTAGTTATAAATAGCACATCGTAACACAACATAGATAGACGTGCACAAATATGTAATGTCACATTAATTTTTCACTAGTCCTATGTAATAGGGGGCAAGCCTAAGGCCATATATCGGGTACAACACTAGACCCTGTGCTATTACTGAGATATTTTTTTACATGGGATTCATATCATTATTGGTGGAAAAATATTATTATATGACTCTAACTTCAACTAGCTACTTTAACTTCAAGTGTGGGAGAGCCACGAATGGGCAGGCTCGACCGGAGTGATACCACGGCCCTCACAGAAAACCGACGTGAAACAACGCTTGTGTGATGTTTCGTCGTGTGAGTGAGGTTAACGGAGGCCCAATTACCTTCCCCTTCCCCAATCTCCCCAATTCCTGAATCCCCAACGATTCTCAAACTCCCAATCCCCAAAAAGCCGGTGACGCCCTTGTAACGCCTCTGGTGTCCAGGTGTCCATGGGCGACACCGATTGCTTACCATCAGGTGATCCATCTGCTCGTTTGCCATAAAAAAAAATATATACATTAAACAAAGTAATCAAAAACATAAAACCAGTTCATTATACGAAAGCATTTTCGAAAAAAAAAGCTACACAGATGGTCCCATTTTGGCAACCCCGTCTCGAGTAACATTTTTGAACCTGTTACTTCTACATATGGCACTTTAAAGCTGTATATCAAGATTGCTTCGGGAGTTAAAAAAAAATCGTCCCTTATTATTTTTTTATTGTTTTTACTGACCTACTGGCATGGTGAACTTTATGAGTAATATTTATTTTTTATTGAAAGCTTGTTTATTTATTTAGGATGGGATGGTTGAGTGGTTTGTGAGTGTAGCAGCTGAGTGTGTGGTCTTATGGGATGGGTGCTTATAAGTATTATTATATTTTTTATATTAAACTAGTTGACCCGGCAAACGTCGTGCTGTCTTTTTCTCGCATTTTAGCCTTCTCTGGACATCCATGAACCTTTCAAGATCAAAATAAGCAAAATTGGGTCAGAAATTGAACAGAAATTCATTTTTATTTATATAGATTTTGTATTGTCTTCGATCGTGTGCTTAAAACAAATGCTAAATTAAAATCTGAAGATACCTATGAGAAGTTAGAGGACGACCAAAGAAAAATTGTATAAAATGTGTGAAGAATGGAAGAACAAAAGAGAAAAAGAGGTTATCATAGGAGGCCTTCTAAAGGATGAGAATGGACAAAGAGAACATATTGTGCCGATGTGATGACGATTATGATGTACCTATGTAGCTTGTCGCGGAGAAGCTACCGGGTTACCGGGGCTCCAGCTCGACGTGCAGGAGAAGGAATGGGGTGGTTTTTAGTCAGTAAGAGTCTGACACTCCCTGCCGCCTCACCCAGGCGGGAGCAACCATTCGATGATTTTCCCCCTTAAAAAAAAGTATGTAGGTTCGGATAAGGGCAGGGAGAAGAATGAACGTGGGTTGATCCGATTTTGAATGTAAGTTTTAAATAAGCACAAAATTCTAAAGCTTTCATCTCTTTTAAAGGACCCCTAAACCTCTTAACTACATGATAACCGTCAAACCATCTCTAACCAAACATGGCGTCAAACAATCAGTTATCTTTAACCACGACAATGAAACTGTTAGAACTATTGTAATCTAACACAATAATTGTTTGTGTAGGGTAAACACGAGTTGTGTGTTTTTGACGCAATTTTTCTGTTAAATCTGTTAATGTGTTGTTAGGTAATGTTTGGTTTAGTTATGAAATGTCGTAGGTTGGCAGTTCAATACTCGGTCCTCTCGAAATATTGACGGCTTTATTTATTTGACTGCCTTGAAGTTAAATTGACTGTGAGACGTGATTACTTAGTATTAGGAAATTCCTAGAGTTATGAACATTCAACTAGGCCTATGTTCAGCAACGATCCTCAAATTCCTAATCCCCAAAAGGCCGGTAACGCACTTGTAACGCCTCTGGTGTTCCAGGTGTCAATGGGCGACGCCGATTGCTTACCATCAGGTGATCCGTCTGCTCGTTTACCGGCTTATGCCATAAAAAAAGCAGAGTAGTTCTTATGGCTGATAGACTGATGATGACGATAGTGTGATCTTTAGTTTTTCCGAAACTAATGCACGTTTCATATCGTAAACTGTTCAACATAACATCACGCCTTTTATCCCCGAAGGGGTAGGCAGAGGTGCAGATTATGCCACTGTACAATGTAACACCCACTTTTCACTATTTATGTTATAAGTCCCATGTTATAGGGGGTGAGCCTATTGCCATATACCGGGCACAATTCCAGACTCTGTGCTAATACTGAGATTTTTTTTTAAACCCAGTTATATTTTGCCCGACTCGGGAATCGAACCCGAGACTCCTTGCCCGGCTGTCGCACTTGCGACCACTCGGCCAACGAGGCAGTCAACAGTATTAGTTTTATAAGCAATTTCATTATTCTTTAAGTATCTCAGTACATTTTTAACCTGAAACACAGGCTTGTACCTAGTTGAGGTTTTATATAAATTTAAACTTTGTTTAGTTAACAAGATTTATTTTGTAATCTCGCTTTTTACAACAAATAAACATAAATTTAATTTTAACTGTAAAATTAAAACTGCATAGTTTTCGTATCAATTATCATAAGGTCTGTCTGTAGTCTGCATTATTGAGTTAACTCATTACGAATTTTAAAACTGGAAACTACTTAAAAACTAAAAAATGGCATTTAGTTATCCAGACAACATAAAAAACACATATAAAAAAACATAACATAACATAACGCCTTTTACCCTCGAAGGGGTAGGCAGAGGTGCACATTATACCACTGTACAATGTAACACCCACTTTTCACTATTTATGTTATGAGTCCCATGTAATAGGGGGTGAGCCTATTGCCATATACCGGGCACAGTTCCAGACTCCGTGCTAATACTGAGATTTTTTTTTAAAAACCCAGTAATACTTTGCCCGATCCGGGAATCGAACCCGAGACCCACTAACCGGCTGTCGCACTTGCGACCACTCGGCCAACGAGGCAGTCCCAGTTATCCAGACAGTCTGTCTCAAAAATTGTACCACGTAATAAAATGCAAATTGCAACAGCATGGTAATCGAATTCCTCCCTCCCCATAATCGGGATCCCGTTGTGTTCGCAGTACCTCGTAACCCCGTAGGCAAGAGCTAGTTTTCACAAACTTGTTTGTAGACTGAAATAGGACATTCGAATGTCCTGAGACATTCCGCTTAGTCAGCCGGCATGCCCACTGTGGGAGGGGGGCATAGATTAAGTGGGGAACAGATCAGAGGGCATAGGTTTTATAAGAGAAGACTTCGAAATCTTTCAAAATAAAAAAATATAATCTTAAGTTTTATTTATGGAGTACTAGCGACCCGCCCCGGCTTCGCACGAGTACAATATGCATGTATTATACATAATATGTATGATTCTTAAGGATGGTTTATATTATAAACCATCCTTAAGAATCACTCTATCTATTAAAAAAAACGCCTCAAATGCGTGGCGTAGTTTTAAAGATCTAAGCATATATAGGGACAGACAGGCGGCGGATAGCGACTTTGTTTTATACTATGTAGTGAAGTGGTAAACGATAGGACGGATCACCTGATGGTAAGCAATCGGCTTCGTCGTTGGACACTTGGAACACCTGAGGCGTTACAAGTGCGTTACCGGCCTTGTAATATTGGGAATTATAGGGATTAGGAATAACAAAACCGCATTAATTTAAGGTTTAAGGTAGAAAGTAAAGTAGTCACTGACAAATAAAAATCCTTGGGAAGATTAATTTTCGGTCCTCAGCTGTAGTCAAATGCCATTTAGCGCTTATCTACATGTAGAAAAGAAAACCAAATTGTATAGAATTGACGTAAATTGTGTCACTTGTCAGTGTCATCCCCATACATTTTGATTTCTACTCTCTCTGTAGATAAGCGCTACAGTGGCGTTTGGCTACAGCTGCTGATCTATATGTGGAAAAACCTTGTTTCTACAGAAACAGGAGTGATACAGGCTTTACAGAAAATTGGCGTGAAACGCCGCTTGCCTTGCTCAAAGCGCTAACAAAGTAGCAACGCACTTGTGTAGAATGTAGGTAGGTAAATATGAATAAAAACTTATCGAATATTTAAAATCCTATACCTAATTTAATATCCTAATCTTTACTACTATCAAATTTCATGGCAAACTATTTTACAAAGATCAAAAATACTCCCAAATGTCGACTCTACTTGACGACTGTATCGACTGATCGACTGTACTTAATCTACAATGACTCACAGATTTTCTAGAAACATAAAAATCAGCTTAATAATAAAAAGAACATTAAGTACCCACAATAAACCTACACGTCGCATCTGTCGGTAATTCCAAATCTGTGTCAAGACAGAGACGGTGCAGTGCGAACGTGACCGAAATAGATTGCGCTGCGTACGCGCACAGCTCGCACCGCACTCCTGCGCCGCGCCGTCCAAAACAAGGATCCATGGATCAAAAGAATTTTATAAGTGCTCCGATCAACTGAGATGGCCCCGTGATTTTTCGAAAAAAGTGAACGATTTTTTTAATTTTTTTGGTTGACTATTCAGTGATAATGCGGTTGTGTTTTGCAGTGTGTCTGTTCGTCTGTTTGACCTTGTGTCCAGATGTATATGGTAAGTTAGTAAAAAATCGGAAATTTTGAATTCGATCTGGCTTAATTTTTTTCGAGTGTGGGATTCGAGTGGGCTGCACTTAGAAGTTGTTTCAAAGAGTTCCTTATTAATTATTATTCCTGATTTTACGAATAAAATATACCTAAGCATATTAATTTAGGATTTTACTTATTTATAGACAGATTCATCGTTTGCATGCAATTTTAGTAGCTGTAGTAACATAGTTTTCGAAATGCATGCCTCACGAACAAAAGACACGCCAGAAATCGTAATTTTTTTTTAATAAATTCAAATATGTTATAACCGGTCTGTGGCCCTAAATTACCAATATCAATTCCCAAAATGAAAAGGTATTCCTTATTTATAAGATACTTAATATTAATTATTGGTATTAGGGATGATGACAGGGTATGAAAATTAAAAATATTATTAGTCCGTAAGTTAGGTAATGAAGATATATTAAACACGTATTTTTTTTAATTTTGTCATATAATAAAACAATACTTAGATAAAGCGAATCAAAGTTTAGGAGTGGGGGCTAAAACGTCATTTCTACGTATAAAATGTACATGGAAGTGACGTCACGCGATATTTCAAATCAATATATCGTCGAAAGTAATCGTTTCTATAAGAAAATAAAAAATACGTGTCTAATGATTTAAAATAATATACCAGACGGATATTAAAATAAATATTAGGCATCTAGAGGTACCCTATTGTAGTCACCTGAGTAACAATTAGCTGTATAACTAATTATTGTCTAATGAAGACCATGTGTACAATTTCATTGAGCTGTCGTAATAGGATCCCTTAGGATCCTGTTGCAATTCATTAAGTAATTCTTATCTTATCCTAAGTTATCTTGTGAATACCATAATACTATGCCTTATAAGGGCAGGCACTTTTTAAGTCTCTAAGTACTTTAATATTCTCGTGGGTGTCTTACAAACTAATGAAAAGAGCACGCATTATATAGAGACTGGACAACAGTGACATCTGATAAATTCGAACCTTTTAAATTATGATTTTTTGACTGACTGCCTTATTGGCGGAGTGCTCGCAAGTGGAACTGCCAGCAAGGGGTGTTGGGTTCCATTCTCGGATCGGGCAAAATATTACTGAATTTTTTAAATTTTAAATTGTGCCCGGTATATGGCGACAGACTCACCCCCTAGCATACCTATGGGACTCATAACATAAATAGTGAAAAGTGGGTGTTACTACAATAGCATTAAGTTCCGTAATGTGTACTTTTATCTATCCCTTTAGGGACAAAAGGCTTGATGTTATGTTAAGTTAAATTGTTATTTTCAACGGCGACCTTGTATCATAAATCTATCTCTAGAAGTCTAGAAGAAAAACTATAAGCAGTGACAATATACCATCATAATAGGACTGCAATAAAGGGGTAGACAGGATCAACTCAAATTTAAAAACGATGTCTTTTTTTTAAGGGAGGAATATCATCGAATTATTGCTCCCGTCTGTGTGAGGCCGGAGGGAGAGTCAGACTCTTACTGACTAAAAACCACCCCGTTCCTTCCCCTGCACGTCGAGCCGGAGCCCCGGTTACCCGTTAGGTTCTCCGCGACGACGATGTCTACTAACCTTATTAAACATCCATTCGTCATTTAATTAAGTGATTTGTATGACATGCAAGCGTTTCATTTAAAAGCTGTTATGATCTAATGATAATAATTTATGGAATGTGATTGTATGAGGCACTGTAAGTAATAAATTATCATGCAACTCAGACATGCAGTTAAAGAGCTTCTTGCTTTAATTTTAAGCACTGAATAAAAGAAGATACTTTAACCTTACCAAGCATCAAGTTGAATTGGTTTTAACCCTTTATTATAGACACAATTAAAGAACAATAGATTGCGGTCACCGGTGTCCTCGCGGTGTTTGACAGTTAAATTAGTTCTTAGGACATAAAGATCTTTGAAGATTTTTTCATATACACATAACATCACCCTTAAGCCGTAGGTAGAGGATGCGGGTTCGAAACCTACCAACGGCAAGTACCAATGTGACCTTTTCCGAGTTATATGTACTTTCTAAGATCTAGACACCACTGACAAACCGTGAAGGAAAACATCGTGAGGAAACTTGTGCTTATAATTTCTAATTATAAGTTTGTAATCGCCAACCCGCAATGAGCAAGCGTGGTGATTAATGCTCGAACCTTCTCCGTGTATTTATTGTGTTGTTTATTTATGTATTTATAGGCTGTTGATGATGATGAGTGTTGTGGGCAGGATATTAAAGTATACCTAATCGTAGCAAGTTTCATCTTAATCGGGCCGCTAGTTTTTGCGTGATGCGTGAACATATAGACATACAGACAGACAGACAGACAAAGAATAAACACTTTTATGGGTTCCGTATCTATCTAGTAACACGCCCCGCTATTTATTTTTTAATTAACACTTCTACAGTTTGATTATAATATGTAATATTAGCTACTTCTGCGCGGTTTCACACGCGCTGCTCAGCTACTATTGGTCGTAGCGTGATGTTTTATAGCCTATAGCCTTTCTCGATAAATGCGCTATCCAACACAAAAAGAATTATTCAAATCAGACTTGTAGTTACGGAGATTAGCGCGTTCAAACAAACAAACAAAACAACAAACTCTTCCGCTTTATATAATAGTACTAGCGGGCCCGACAGACGTTGTCCTGCATATCCACTTGAATGTATAAACAAAAATTCATTCAAATTAGTTCAGCCGTTTAGAATAACTAACCTAAACACCGATTGCAGCGCTCTCTGTCGGGCTGATTTGTGAATCTAAACCATTCCCAGATCCCCTTGAACACACACAAAAAATTTCATCAAAATCGGTCCAGTCGTTTGAGAGAAGTCCAGTGACATACACACTCACAGAAGAATTATATATAAAAGATAAGATATAGATAGTTGCTACCGATTAAACCCGCAAACAATCAATATTAAAAACTTCTTTTTACGCAATCCTTACTATTATAAATGGGAAAGTGAGTTTGTTTGTTTGTTTGTTCCACTTTCACGCCGTAACTACTAAACCGATTGCTTTGAATTTTTGCAGATGTAAAGTTAGAAGTCTGGATTAAATAATAGGGTACTTTTTATACCGGAAAAATTGATATTCGATTGAAAACGAAATTATTGGTATAGATGGCGCTGTGTGTATTGGTATATGTCACATAGGCTACTTTTTATCCTTTTGTGACGCGAGCGAAGCCGCGGGTAAAAGCTAGTACATTTATAAATACCATCATAATTTCTTCCCGGTAACTGGTTACATCGATAAAATAAAAATAAAAGTTGTATTGAGTATTTAAAAGCCGTTAACCGGAGTGGGTGAAGTAGGAGTTGATGGGATCGGTTGAGATGAGCCGTGTGAGTGTCGATTGTGTCGATCAGTTGATTACCTTGCTTACGTTATGAGCTTTGATTGACTTTATAATGGGTTAGCTATATTTTGATGTATGTTCCGTTAATTGTGTGTCGAAGTTTAGTTTTTTTTCGGTATTGTGAGCTGTTTGGGTGAGTTTTGGGGCTGGTTGGGTGTTGTTTAGAGATTTTTGAATGCAGAATTTTGAAAATTACGAGTTCAATAATACATAGTTATATTTCGTAGGATTTATTATAATATAGAAGGGCTATGATTATGTTAAAAGTTTTGATAATTTCTCAGCAGTAATTTCGGTAACCATTTCGAGGATTTTCTGCTAACTACTAAGACTTTATTTTAAACCCCAACAATACTTTTCGCGACCCGGGAATCGAACCCTTGACCGGCAACTTGCAACCACTTGGCCAACAAGACAATTTGGAAATGGCATTAGGCGCACCCCCTATTACATGGGACTCATAACTAAATATATATAAATAATGAAAAGTGGGTGTAAAATTGTACAGTGGCATTAAGTGCCGTAATGTGCACCTCTGCCAACCCATTCAAGAATAAAAAGCCGTGTTATATTATGTACTATATTTCGAGGATTATTACATAATCTATTTATTAACCTAAGAACTATTCAAACAATAACAAGTGTGATGTTACTATGTCACGTCTAAGATTACTATTTAACGATATAATTCACACAATTTTTTACCATGACTCGAGTGTGATATAATTTGTCTTGTACTTTTGTCGTGTTAACACTTTAGTTCGAAATTCTATGGAAATATATCCGTGTCGAATGGCCAAGTAAATCAGTTATGGTCAAGGGCCAGTATCACGGCCGGCTCGACCGGACTGATACCACGGCCTCACAGAAAACCGACGTGAAGCAACGCTTGCGTTGTGTTTCGTTGTGTGAGTGAGGTTACCGGAGGCCCAGTCTCCCCCCCCCCCTCCCTTCCCCAATGCCCCAAATCCCTGAATCCCCAACAATCCTCAAACTTCTAATCCCCAAAATGCCGGTGACGCACTTGTAACGCCTCTGGTGTTCCAGGTGTCCATGGGCGACGCCGATTGAAGAAAGAAGAAAGAAAGAAAGAAAGAAAATTTTTTTATTTGCACACTGACACAAGGAAATAAAATAAGAAACAATACAGTAAGACGGCGCAAAAAGGCAAGAGCTCAGCTTAAATGCCGTGACACGAGTGTGCTCGAGTCACGGCGCTGATTTTCAGCACTTGCCCGTGACTAATAAAATATTACATTTAATAATAATAATAGAAAATCAGTAAAAAAATATATATATATAATTCAAAATTAAAATAACAAAAATTCTTTGTACAATAAATAATTGCTTTGATTATTCTTCGATTATGCTTCGATTATTTGTACAATAAATAATTGATTGCTTACCATCAGGTGATCCGTCTGCTTGTTTACCGGCTTATACCAAAAAAAATCATTTGAGATTATCGGAAATTTGTCCATTGTAGCTCGGAGTCCATCGGAGTCTAGTAGACACTAAAGTTCAATGTTTTCTCACCTTTGGCTCCTCTTTCGGGAATTAACAGTTGTGCTGTCATATACCTATTTGTTTTCTTGGGCC